ACTTTTATAATGGTCAACATTAGCCATTGACTAATAGCAAATAACTGGATAAAAATACAGAGCTTCCAATAGTCATCTAGTATAACTATCTTTGCAATATTGTGTTAGTTGAAAAATTAAGTGGTGTTGTTCTTTTTTTTTTAATTAAAAAAAATTCTGAAAAAAAATTAACTGAAATGCATTCACTTTATTAAACAACAATGTTCCCAGAGAAAACTACCACCATATCATGGACAGATTTGGAAAGATACAGTTCGATAATTACAACTAAATCTCAAACTGCCAGTGAACTTGCCTAGATAAATATAAGTATATTTAACCTCCTGTGATTTCTAAAACTAGTTGAATTTTTTTACTATACTGCATATCTTTTATTACTTGAAAAGTTGTAATATTTTCTATAGAATTGATTATATTGAAAACAAATGATTTAAAATACAGTAAAACGCATTAAGAAAAGGTCAGCTTGACTAGGAAAAATATAACACTGAACAAAAGAAGGGGTGATATTATCAGTTGCTTGAAGAAAAGAAGAGGCGGGGGGGGGTCTTTTGTCCAACATGTTTCAGAAAACATTTTCCCCCTTTCCTTAGGAACCTCTTAGTTTTTTCAGATATGCAAAATAGAATCCTTCCAATGTTTCTTTTATCTTAAAATCCCCAAGATTTTTTTTTCTTTTCTTTAGCACCTTCCCCTCTTGTTTTCTAGAAAAAGCGACAGACATGCCTAGACTCTCATGGCAGCATAAAGAGATTGAACGCTGGGTAACTCAATGTTCATCTGGTCCAAAAGATCCCATATAGACAGCCATGGAATGGAATACCCAATGGACTGCAAAGTATGAAGCAGTGTAGAAGCCCGAAACCAAAGGAGGAACAGGGAGGACACAACGTTTAGTAAGGTTAAGAGATCTAAAAGTATGGACTAAGTCAAATAAGTAGAGAGGAAATGCTATGCCAGGCCAAGCCTAGGAGGGACTGTGTGTTACTGGCACCAATGGGTGGTCAAACGAAGGACCATCAAGGAGATAAGAATCCCGTGCAGACATTTTCCTCATGTTGGTGTTTTGTGGGGAGGAGGGAAAGAGCCATGCCCCCCAGCCCACAAAAGACTCAGGCTGCATCCATCTCAGCTCCAGAATGCACATTGAACATGGCGTCTGCAGAGCAGAAGTCTACCAGCCTTCAACCTGATGAATGTCAGCTTCTCAATGGCACTGCCAGCACACCTCCAGCTGTATACATGCACGGCTTCCTTCTGTGCAAAGGTTGCACTCAGTGTGCGGACAGGAGAGATGGAACTGTCAGGGCACAAGACTCCAGGGACAGGGCAAGCTGGCCTGGTTCCATTCTGTCCGTCACTGTTAACACGAGCTGGTGGAGAAAAACAACTGCACAGACAGTAATGATGTGGAGAGGGGCAACTGAAGAGACCTGAACCTTGCACATAGCTTCAAACCACCTAGACAAAAGTTTGGCTGCAGGCCCATGTACATAGTCAATCACTTATGCATGGCTTGCATCCACACAGGGCTCAAACACAAGTTTCTGATGCTATATCAGCAAGTGCAACCAAATCAGTGGTTAAGGTATTTTTGAGGATCAACACATATAATGACCACAAAGTGTATTGATCCGTGTGATTCTTCTGGGCTATCTCAAGGTGGGGCAGTCGCACTGAGAACAGCCACTTTTTACAAGGGATCAAAAGCTCCATCTCCCATTATTGACTTCTTATTAACACAATGTATCTTTCCCTGGTGTAGCTGACCCTTCACACAGCCGTGCAGTAGCTTTTTTTCTTGATTATGCTCTATGTAGTTCCTTCTCCCTGTTTCTTACTCTATGCTAGTGTGTCCCCCCTCATCAAGAACCAGCTCTTTTACTTTAACCCCTTTTCAAACTGCATGGCCTTTACGTCTGCTTCTCCCCTCCACTGCTTGTGTCTCCAATAACCACAGCAAAGAGGTCTGACCCTTTCATTTCACTTCATGACCCCAACAAAATTTTATTTATTTATTTATTTTATTAAAACATTTTTAGGCCGCCCCATTCGCCGAATTCACCCGTGCATGTGTGTGCACACACCAGCTTTGAACCCCTAGCTATCTAGACACTGCTCTTCTACCTGCACAACATTGGTCTAGGATTACAGCTAATATGATTAGTCAATTAATGATTTCACATGTTCTGTAATGCTGTAATTAATATCTCCCATGCAATTTGAATGTCAGCTATTCTAATGGGAACAAAGAAGATCTTGAAAAGGCCAGCTATACTTAAAGTGCCTCCACACTTGTAGATTTTACAAGCACATAGGTCGTATATCTCTGGAAAGTGCACCCATTTGATTGGGGAAAAGCTGTTCATCATGATAACTTCTGTTAACCAGAGTTTTTCAAGAGATCCCTGTGGAGTGTGAAGAACACAAGAGTGAAGCGTGTTTTATGCAGCTAAATGGCAAATCATACCTCCAGAAGTCATGTTGTATAACACCTCAAAAACAAGGCTACTTTTAAAACGAAGAGAAATAGAATTTGAAACAGAATCTAATGTCGAATTATTCCATTTTTATTTTATTCTCCACTGCCACCTTGTGGAATGCTCTCAAACCAATTAAGTCTGCTGTTTTGTTTCATCCCAAAAATCCACATGCCCATAAAAGAGCAAGAATTTTAGTCTTTGATTTATAGCCATAAAATCATGCTGACAACTGGCTGTGGTTGTGCATCCACCTTTCAGATAACCCAAAGAACAAGTCTTGATGCCACCTGGTAATTACCTTTATGAAATATATTGTCCACATATTAACCAATCATGCCCATTTATGTTGTTTTAGCAGTTGAGGAAATCTAGCCTGGGTTCTAAAAATTAGCAGAGAAAATAAAGAGGAATCTTTCTTCAAGATCTGGGTTATTGAACAAAACCTCAAATACAGAAAGAGAATGAGAATGCCTTCATTTCACCCATTCCTGTCTTCGCTGAATGGGCACATTCACATGACATAAGGATGGTTAACAAGCCTGCATGCTGGTCACTTGATGCCTGAAGTTCTTAATTGCCATAATCGTGATTACACCCTAACATGGTGAGGTTGGCTGGCTGGGATGGTTGACAAAGCACTCAGCAGACCTTAGTTCTGACTGATTTGTTAACCCCTCCAGCTCCCCACCTTCATGGGTCCAGATGTTCTGATAAGCTACACCCAGAGAAGGTAATTCAGTAAATTGGGCAGCACACAACCAGCACACATGCAGGTGTTTAACAAACCAGCAAGGCTTACCAACCATTCTTACATTGTGTGGAATTAGTCACAGTCCTGTTTCCAAAAGAGTTCTGTAATAAAATAGTCTCCTGAGGTCTAAAAAGTCTGCAATAGCAATACAGAACCCTGGTGAATCAAACTAAGAAAAGTCAGCAAGCATAATTATATGGAAATCTTTTGTATGTTAACTTCAGTAGTCTGTCTGAAAGCCAGTGTGAAGGCCACTCAATCTCTCATGTCTGTTGTTTTCCATTTAAGTGTATAGAAATTAAAATGTGTTATATAGCTGCAGTTTTTGAAGCTGAGGTTGTGCCAATTCAGTGTTGAGAAACTGAATATGCTGAGACTTAGAAAGTCAGCCTTACCATTTCACTAGTTTATGCACACATCTAAAACTGAGGGGAGGTAAATGAGCTTTACTCTGTCTTGCATGTACACTACTAGGTCAAATAAAAGTGAAAACTGTAATCTTACATAGAGCTAAACCTCCAAAAACATATACAATAGGACCCCGCCTCTCAGCAGGTGGTAGGATCCAAGCTCCCAGTAGATGCCTGAAATTGCGGATAGTAGCAAACACTGTTGACTTTCGATATTCACAGGGTTGGGGGCACAGGACCCCCATGTAATGGAAAAACCATGAATATCTCTACCCTGCCTCAATCATTTCTCCCTCCTTGTCTGTCTGTCTGCGTTAGCTGGGGTGGACGAGGGGGTGACGTGAAGTTCTGGGCCTACCATGGCTGGCCAAGTATGTGGCAGCCAGGAAGTGGAGTTTTCCCCACGCAGCTTCAGTGGAGAGATGCAGCATTTCCCATGCATGCCTGTTCCTTCTCCCTGGACTTTTCTATTTAATTTTTGGACTGTGGTCATACGTGAAACCATGGTAACTGAAACAGCAGATACAGGAGGTTTACTGTACAGGCTTTCCAATATGAGTGCTAGTGAGAAGAATCTCATTGGAATGAATGCTTCAGTGTGCATCGTAATGCGCATACACGCAAGCACGGGTAGAAGCAAAAGGATTACGTCCCGCATTGATGAAACTACTAGGCAAGGGTTCCAGTTTCCTTGTGTCACACAGGCAGACTCTTATCACTTTCTATGCTACAAAAATCCATAACTTAACAAACACTTTAGAGGAAAATAAATTCTACTAGACAAATCCACATATGTCCCTCATTGAAAGTGATGCAGTGCCATAGACAACATTCACATTTTGTGTACATCTGGATGCGACTGTCACCACCCACAGAACATTGCTTTCAATGGGCTACATAATTAGATGTGTATTTAATGACACCCTGTGTTCTTGCAACATTCATCCCTTGGAGACTTTTTGCTGCTCGAGGCGAGGAAGAAGATAGCACCCCTCCCATTTTATGGACAGAATCCATCTGGACTAGTAGCTCAGCATTTCTTCAGTATGGGTAATGGAACAGTGTCCTCTACCGTGCCTGAAGGCATCAAGCTAGCTTAGCGAGCAGAGGCAGCTTATGTGGCACGCAAGCCTCTCCCTAACTGCTTGCCGCTCTCTCCCAGCAGCTGATGCCTGAGCAGTCATGCCAATTTGTGGACAACACTGCACTCTTTCACAAAGGGTGTGAAGAATCACCTACAGTGTGGGAATGCATTCGGGAAGGGTGGACAAAAATGCTCATGAAATGAACCCACCTTTTCATTTCACAGCTAATTGGGGTAAGCAACCAACAGAATATTCTCTTTGGAAAACTTACCGATTTCAATGGGAAGCTCTGTGATCTGGTTGCTGGATAATTCTAGAATTCTCAGCTCCTGAAATAAGGCAATGTACGTTGGAATGGTTGCGATCATGGTATTGTTTATATGCCATTCTTTTAGATATGTCTGTTCTTTCAGTGAATCTGGAAATTCCTAAGAACAGAAGATTTCAGACGGTAAGGATTTCTTTATTTAGAAACGTGTCAGCATCCTCAGATGAAACCTAATATTGCCAAAGAGCTACAAAAATAGATTTCATTATTCCATGCACATCTGCTCACAGTTTGTAGGAAGGCTTTAAGTAGGGGAACAGGAGATTCAGCCATGGATGTCCAGTGTATTCTTTAGCCTGGCTGACAGGATGCTAGCATTTAACAGGGAAAAGTTTCTAGAATGTGAGTAATCTCTTTAGCTATTTCATGATAATGCTTCTTAATAATGTGCCCCAACATGAGTAATAAACCTGAGATGTTCGAGCACTGCGTTGTAGTGGTTCTGCTCTCACTTGGAGCAACTTTTTCAGAAGGCACTTTGGGAATACTGTTCAGCCCCATGGATTCTCCAACATGGAGTTCTTCAGGAGACTGTTCTGTCCCACAAGCTATTTAACATCGACATGAAACTGCTGAGAGGGGCCATCCAGGGTTTTGGAGGGGGCTGCCGTCAGTATGCTGATGATACACAGCTCTATTTCGCCTTTACATCATCAGCAGGTGAGGCTGTGGATGTGCTAAACTGGTGCCAGGCTATGACAATGGACTAGGTAAGGACCCACAAAGTGAAACTCGATCCAGACAAGACTGAGATGATGCTGGTAGGTGGTTCCTCTGACCGGATGGGGAATGTTCAACCTGTTGTAGATGGAGTTGCACTTCCACTGAAGAAGCAGGTCATAGCTTGGGGGTGGCTTTCTTCAACCTGGTAGCCTTGATATGTGGTGGACTACAAATCCCATTATCCCAGCCAGTATGCCTATGATTGTTGGGGATGATGGGCATTTTCATATCTCAAAGGCTCCACGTTAAAGAGAAGGCCAGTGTAAGACTATACAATTGTACCTTTACAATTTTACAAACTCTGTATGCAGTGCATCTCTAGAACTTGAACCGTCCCTCTTTGTTGGAGTGTTTGCATGTTAAATTCTCTTGTTTTTTAAGCAAAATGAATTGAAATGATGCCCATAAATGATGACATAGAGCAAAAGTTAGCATAATACTGGAAAGTACTAAAAATAACATTCTTAGTAGAAGAATCTATAAGAAAAGAAATAAAAACAAAAAGGAGTTATTCTATAGAAAGGACACTAGAAAACTTATTATAAATGGCTTTTAGAATTGTGTTTACTAGCATGCATATAGCTATGCTTTACCTGGCACAACCTTATGTGACATTTTAGTGCTCCATTTACAAACCAGATTGTGATAGAAAATGAAATTTACACAGATTTCCTTTTGGCCAATTCCCCCATGTACTTCAGCAGTCTTCAATCACTACAGATAAGCCAACAGAAATGTGATGAATTGTTCCACAAAGACAACCACTAGGAAAGTCCAGTCTCAAATAATGAGGAAATACGGCAATCCCCTTGTTTTTCCAAATGATTTAATTGTAAGGTATATTTAAAAGCTATTCTGGCTATAGATCTGGCATAGGAGACATCCAGCCCATGAGCCAAATGAGGCTAATTTCCCAGCAGGCAAGCCTCTTTTGTTGCCATTTCTGATAAGTGATCTGATCAGAGATATGAGCATATTTATAGGCAATGCACCTTGAAGCAGCCTGCAAACAATACCTGCTGAACTTTGCAGGCATGAGGGTCTCATTTCACAGGCATGAAAGCTGTTATTCCAGAATTTACTCTTAAGTAGACTTGCTTAGAATTGTGCTGAATTTTGTGTGCTTGGTGGGAAAATGTGCAAATGTGCACGAATCACACCTGCCCTTTCCCACTTTGCTTTCTCTGGCCTTGGCTCCATCTTGCGTCCTTGTACCACTGGACTGCAGCCTACAAGAAAAGTTTCAGCACCTCAGGGCTATCAATATATGTAGGGCTAGTGCCCTAGTATCAGAGGGGCAACCATTCACTAACATGGGGACTGCCCAATTTTCACTTAGCCTGCTGCCAAAAGGAGAGCATCCCAAGCATCCTCTGATGGCCTTCCTTTTCCATTAATGGTCCTGAAGGAGCACCAAGGCTGTGATGACTGTGCCCCAAGCTGCATAGCTAGGTCTAGCCACCCTTTCAATATGCCCAAAAGCCACCAGAGTGATACTATATTGGGGGTACTGAGGGAATCAAAAGGTTGACTAGATTTGGCCAGAATGTGCTAGCTAGAGTGCAGAATCTGGACGGCAGACACTAGGACCCTGGGACTTCCAATGATGTCAGGAGCCATTGCTCAACAGACTTTAGGCATGCTGAAATTAAGCATCCCTGTGGTTAATGGGTTATGGCCATCATTACAACACTGCCATAATTAGTGGAAGAGTCCCACGCTGCCCACTGAAATATACTTACCGTCCAGTGCTCTCCTGAAAGTTGAAAAACAAATTTGCTTCTTTTTTTCTCTGTTTCATTCAGCAATGCAATTTTCTTAATGAGTGGGGAGTTCTTTTCAATCTTATCCAAAATTCTTTCCGTATCTATGAAACCATTATTGAGATAGGCAGCTTGAGGCAAGCCTTTTCTTCTGCACTCCAGCACAAGGTCCCATTCCTGCTTTATCCTGAAAGCATATAAGTGAAAAGATTTCACTTTTCTTTCTTCCCCCACCCCAAAAACCTGGAATTACAAAATGTTTCAGAAAGGGGTTCATTCAGATTGTATCCATCCTGCCTCTGTAATGAGTATAGTGAAAAAGCAAAGAATGGTGAGTCAGGATTGCCCACACAACACAATCAGGAATATGAACATGGAGCTACTGTCCTTTGGCTAAGGACAAAATATCCATTGGGTGTTCTCTTGCACCAATGACATTTCCATGAATGTAGGAAGGAAGAACTGTGTTGTTGAGGAATACCAATATATTTCTGCAATAGGCAGCCATCCTATGCACAGTTAACTGGCTGTCCCACTGAACTCAAATAAATGGGTGGATTTTTCTTTTCCTGGAATCATTTTACCCATGTGCTGGTTTGAAAGTCCTTTCTAGGAGGAGGGACTCTCACTCCGTGTCTTCTCTCCTAGAATAGTTTCTTTGACCACTAGTTGAGTTGCAACTTGTTTATAATGTATTCAGTCATTCAATTTACTGTATAGCTTTATTCTGTTCTAGCTCCTCATAGGATCCTGGACCAACTGAGGTGGGGCTGAGCAAGCTGTGAAAAGGCTGGATCATTTTATAGCCACTGCTGGCTTAAAACGCCAGACTGGGACCATGTAATAAGATACCTGATTTCCTTTGCAAAGGTTACCACTTTAGTAACTGCAGTGTAAGCCACTGTTTATGCTGTAGTAGTTAGAGCAGGAGAGTAAGCTGGGACTGCAAGTCTTGTACTCAGGCACCATTCTTGTTTCTAACCCAGATCTCTGGCATGAAAGGTATGTGACATAGTAGTGAGAGCTTAAAATAGTCAAGAGCCAAAGGTCACCAGTGCATGTTCCGAGAGTGACTGTGCAAATGATGTTACCAATGTAAACAGTAAGGATCACCAGTGCAACAGGGAATTCACAAGACAATGGCTATTTGAAGAGGTCATGCGGGCATTACTCCGAAGAGCAACCAATGTCACTCTAACATCACTGAATAAAAATAGTCCAGAAAGAGTCATACTGGCTTGTCTCTGTAAGCCAGCTCTGCTAATGAACCACAGAAGCTGTTGAGGTGTTCCTGAGGAGAAGTGGGTAAAGCACACAGAGAAAATGTAAATCATAGAATAGTAGAGTTGGAAGGGACCATGAAGGCCATGGGGTCCAACCGCCTGCTGTTGCAGGACACCACGTTACACCATCTCACTCAGGTGGCTGTCCAGGTTCTTTTTGAATGTCTCTGGTGTGGGAGAGCCCACCACCTCTCTAGGCAGCTGGTTCCTCTGTCGCATTGCTCTGGCAGTGAGGAAGCTTTTTGTGATGTCCAGCCTGAATCTGGATTCCATGTCCTACACTCTGGCCACAGTAAGAAAAGATCTTGCCGTTCCTCTTTGTGACAGCCTTTGAGGTACTTAGAGAGGGACATCATGTCCCCTCTCAGTCTTCTCTTCTCAAGGCTGAACATGCCCAGTTCTCTCAGTCTCTCCTCATAGGACAGTGTTTCCAAACCCTGGATCTTTTTTGCTGCCCTCCTCTGGACCCTTTCCAATTTTTCTGCATCTTCCTTAAATCTTGGTGCCCAGAACTGGACACAGTATTCCAGGTGAGGTCTGACTAGTGAGGAGACACACATTTAACTTAAGGACAAACTCCATCCTACTGAAGGAGAAAAAGGAACTGCATCCCAACAACTTTTTAAGAAATGGGAAGAAGTTGGTTTGAAATAAACGGTCACAAAACATTCATAATTAGGGTCATTTCCTAGATTGGCATGAAATTCTCTGTGTACCAGTGCTTTCTTTTTCCCAGGGTCACTTCCCTATTTTGTAGTATCCTTCCTCAGTAAATGACTGTCCTCGTTGTGTCCCTATTTTGCCTTTGAGGAAAACATTAGGAGTGGCTTAAAAAAATCTAGTGAAGGATATCAATGTTTCATTTCTGTACAGTATTACATGTATACTCCACTCCCAGTCAAGATGAACTCCCACACATTGTATAATAAAAAGCCACATGAAGGTACAGTATAATCAAGGCTAAGTTTGTGGTCGAAACAATCCCTTTTGGTTCCTGACAGTTGTTGGTGAAGTCCAGGCCCTCCTTTGCAAAGGACTTGCAGATTCGCACTTCCATGTCAATGGTCATATACATGTACACATTGCTGGTGTTTGGCTTCCCTCCCTTCCCTCCCTTAACCCAGAGCAAACACTGACAAATGTGTTTTAATTGTGACAGTTCTGTAATAAGTACAGCCGGATCCACAGTGCATTGACATGTTCTGATGAACATTATTCAGTTTTAAAAGACAAGGGAAATATGTGTTGATATATTTCACCCATTCACTTATCAAAACATGCTTATATTGTGTTACTTCCCATTTATGAGCCCCCAGATGATTTTCAGCAATAAAACATAATACATTCAAAACTGGAGAGCATTAAAATACATTGTGTAGTTCATAAGCAAACAAAACAAACAGGTTGTGACCAGCTAGATGAAGATTCACCTAAAGGCTGGCAGGGGAAGAAGGGTTTTAACTATCTACCTAAAAGGCATCAGAGAAAGAGCCTTTCTAACTCCCCTTGGGAAGGAGTTCCATGGTCAGGATGCTGCCACCAAAAGAGCCCAATCTGTTGTATATTTGGTTATATGCAGGTTCAGCAGAGGTAAGCATTAAACAGCTGGTTTGGTTAAGAATACAAATCTGTTAGAATCCACACTGAGAAGCTTTTGAGTTTTTTAAAGGGTTTAGTTATTTACAAACAATCCATATGTGACTCTCATGAAAGAGAGATGTTGGTATGTTCATGCAGGATTTCTTGCTTTATTGCTACCTGGTGAGCTTAAAGAGGAGGAGAAATAAACACATACTTCTCTGGTCATGGTAGAAGTGAGAGAGCAAAATGTTAATGAGAGCCAGTGTGGTGTTGTGGTTAAGAGAGCAGGACTGGGACTCAGGTGATCTGGGTTCCAGTCCCCACTTGGCCATGGAACCAACTGGGTGACTTTGGGCCACTCACAAAGTCTCAGCCACCCTACCAAATTGGGTTGCCATTGTGGCAGTAAAACTGGGAGCACAAGGAAGAGAAAGATGTACGCCACTTTAAGTTCTTTAACAGAAAAAGGTGGCATATAAATCTAATAAATAAATAAATGTGAACGTCTTCCTTTTCAAGTGAGGTGGAAGGAACAAAGGACATAGTTCATGCAGAGAGGTTGGCCTTCTTTTGTTTATGGCATTAACCCCTTCCCTCACACACTGGTTAATGGACAGAGCCACACAATGCAGGCAATGCTACCTACACCTAACAGGAAGTACCACACGTGATTGGCATGTTCAGATGGAAATATTGTGGTCTGTTATCAACAAGACTGTTCCAACAGCCAGCGCAAAGTGGTCTATTCTGCACAGTAAATGTTTGCAATGTGCTGCAGATGGAGAAAGGCTTTCAGCAACGTATAAGAAGGGAAGGAGCAACTCAGGCAGCAATCCTTGGTGTGCAATTAAGAGCCTCATAAGTACTCCAAAATGTTCCTGTTTTTACCTGTGAAATGTTATGAAATTCAAGTACGGTATTAGCATGTACAAAGTTGACTAGATTACCCTGAGGTCTTCCAAGGCATGCAAATCACTCCATTAAGAACATTCGTAGTGCTGCTGGTTTAGTAATCTGGTCCATTTCTGATGTTTCCACACAAAGCTTTCTTTAGCCTGAGTCCACCCAGTCTGCAGTCTCCATGCCAAGCAAGCCTATTAGCCATGCATGGTTGCCTACTAGGGACCAGACTGACAAATGTTTGATTTGTTGTTTTTCTCAAGATGCAAAAATTGGACCACAATCCAGTTCTGATCTAAACAAATATTTTCACCCGCATGCTTAACCTTTTCCTTGAATTGAAATGAGTCTTTGGGGGCGGGGGCAGAATTGTGTCCATGTAAGAAACCCCAGTCAGTCTTTCCAACAGTATTCCAGCTGGATCAATCCTAGGGATTACAGCCAGATAGAACTGCACAGCTATTCCATTTTCTACTAAATATTCCACAGGGAAGAAAAAGATTAAAGAAGCAGTGGGGAAAAGTCAAAGAGTTGCAAGCAGAAGACGTTGCTGTGATGTTTGTTTTATTCTATTCATTTTTTGTAAGCCATCCCGAGACACTTGCACTGGATGGGTTAGAAAAGTTTTTAATAAATTATAATAAATGTGCATTCACCATAAAGATCCAGCAGGCTGAGGAGGACAGTCCATGCTCTTCCTCACTATAACTTGTATTGCATTTCTCATAAAACTATAGTTAACAATTTCTAAATGTTAGAAATTTTCTACATAGAAATTAGCACATGGGGAATTTATGAAAATCTCTGTCCTCTTCTCTTCATCTCTTTGGCAGTGCATAAGTAGCCACACTGGAAAGCACCACAAAATTCAAATCAGAGACTTAAATCCGGAACAGAGTTAGACATACTTAAGTTCATTTGCATCAATGGACTTATGCATAAACATTCCTAACTCTGTATTTGATTTAGGCTAGAAAATTCAGTAAATTGAAACTGGAAATTTAATCTGTTCATCCTTATATCTGTCATATAGGCTTGCAAAGCCTGATTAAAAGAGACATTTCCCAGTTATGACCTTTCAAGGGGGGAAACCATGGCTGCATGTTAAATGCCATATTTACAAGTATCCACAGTTGTATGGCTGCCATGAAGTGCTCTGAAGAAGTTTATATTAAAAGAGCAGTGAAATCACAAGATGCATATACTGGAAAGAGTGTGAAACATGGCTACAGCTCTCTCAGAGATCCAGAAAAAACAGTTACATTTGTATCATCATTTGATCACAAATACTCCAAAATGATGTGTCGTTTCAACTGTATTCATTTCAACAATGCTTTGTCATCACAAGCCCTCCTCCAATTTTAATTGAGCAAACCAATAATCTCAGTGCAATGTTAAAGCATTTATGTATTTTGTTGTGCATGGCAGCCCTGTGTTGTTTCAACAGAAAAAGGTCCTACATCTCCCAGCATTCCTCAGCTAGCCATGAGTCCCAGCATGCTGGCTGGGGCATGCTGGGAATTGTGGGAACTGTTCTCTCTAAACATGCAAAGGCTTATGCCCTAAGCCTTTTTGTGAGAGCTATGCCCTAAAAAAACTGTTTACAGTATTACTACTTCTAATTTTAATATGGAGAATAAGAAATAGTAGTACCACATTCAAAATGTCATGGTACTGTTTTAGTGTTGCATACTTTACAGTCTTTATTTCTCAGACACATTCCTCTACAATTCCCTTTGCTTTTTGTAGCATGCTTGATAGTTAACTTTCCCCCATAAAATTGTTTGTTTGTAATTTAGTGCAAGAATTCAGCCATCTACAAGTTGGCTTCATCAAGAGCACTCTTTTTTATAATGCACAATTGTCATTCCACCATTCTCATCAGAACTATGAAAAAGACCACAGTAAGCAAGTTTTATGCTGCAATGCCTCCTCGCACAGGACCATTAATCCAAATTCAGAAGCAAGCTGAAGTCCTCTGCGCGAGCTTTTACTAGCTACAAGATGAACTCAAGGAGGATGGAAAATGCTACAAATCCACCCAGGATAAAATGCTTGAAGAAAAAGGCATGGCAAGGTCATCACACTCCACAGCCGCCTGCATGCACCATGCCCCCGACTGACCGCACATTTGTCAGCTATGTGAAGGGCTCTTTGGTGGAGGGCTCCTGTGTGTGTGAGTTGGCACAGCTCCCTTTACACGGGATGCCCAGGTGTCCTACATTCCAGAGGAGAGGACTTTTTTTAGAGCTAACAGAGGACATTCATCTACTTGAAAAGAGTCCTTGATCCGAAGTGCTGCCCATCCAGATCAAAGACTCCTAAGGAGGAACAGAGGCAGGGGCCTTGAATTTGCCCATCAGTAGTTTACACCTGGTTTAGTGAGCAGGTCACCGGCACAATCTCTGCACCAGGGTCTTGTATTCCTATTTAAATAATACTTATTTGTGAACACATGGGAGGGAGGGAGCATGCTGCTTCCTTACTACTCACTCACTTCCACTTTGTTAAAGGGTGTTCTCCTTGATGTCTGAACCTGAAACTCTGGGTTATTGATAGAGAAACAACCCAGATTTTTAACTAGATTGCTTACTAAAGCAGAAACAGGGCATCAATCAGGGGTCAGAATACTCACTCACTCTCTTACAAATAACCATGGTTAACAAATCATGGTTAACACTCACTCTCTTACAAATAACCATGGTTGCTTAATCATGTAAGTTAGGTCAGAGAGTCAGAGGCAGAAATGTTTATACCTCTGGATGGTCTTAGAGATACCTTTTGTTAAAGCTAACAAGTTTGCATGCTCTTCAATGCTATTAAATAAGCTTAACTATGTTGATCTTGTCAAATACCATTAAAGTATAGCTTTATGTAGCTTTATGGATACTTCCTGAGGGTCCTTCCAGATTAATTATTTATAGCACAATAAATTTTACAAGAAATGGATGAAAAACAAGTACAAATTTCCATTCTTACTATTTTCCAAACAGGAATCCTCACGATAGCACTTTCGTTGCAGGGTTATAGCAGCTTCCCAGAACTTATTTTGCCACAGGGACAAATAAACCAGAGAGTACAACCTCCGCTACCATCGTGTGAACTGTATGAAATGTGGTTTCGCTAGTGCCACGGGGCATCTGCCAAGCAGTGCCTATTACAAAACTAGCAACAAGAGGCAGCGGAAGTGCTCTCCCAGCGGAAGTTCTGTGATGAAGGAAGAAAAGTGGTCTTTGTGACTGCATGTTGTCGCAAAGTGGAGGTGTTCATCCAGTCTGGGTTTTCAAGGTCAAACAGCAGCACAGCTTGAGTTCTCATCTTCCTCCACTTATTTACAAAGAGTAGCATCCTTGCCCCCTTGCAGCAAGGACAGAGCACGCCACATTTCAAGGTTACTTAGCGAAGATTTTCAGAGACAGAGTGAAAACCAGCCCACCTTGGAAAAAAGGGAGCCATTTCAGAGCTGGGGAAAAGGAGATGGAAGGGAATTCCTTGCCTCTGTGGACCAAAGCAAGTGGACCAATTAAGAAGTGCCTGGTGCTCCTTCCATCTGACCGCTGAGCAGCAACATCTGCCCTGGCAGTGGAGCCAGAATCTTTTCTTAAAGGGAGGCAAGGAGGGGATGTATCAATTTGGATTTGACTCTTCACGTGGGCAGATCCTTCATCCACATCTCAAGGAGAATGCGACTTCGATTTATACTGTATTGAAATCAGTTAAGCTCCAACAAAAGGATTGTGCTTCTGAGTTCTTGACTAAGACTGCTGGACAGGAAAAGAGGGAGGGAGAAACTGGCTCATGACAGGTAGGGGCAATGTAACACAAGAAGTAAAATCGGGGTATTGATTGTCTCAAAGGCACCATGCCGTTTGTTCTGAAAATATAGAGTTATCTGTTTCAAGATCAGATAGTCCAATTGTGTACAGCCCCTTAGGTATCATTACTAACCCAAATGAATCAATGCAGCCTTCCTGGCCTCCAAGAGTTGCAGCAAAACCAACTGCAGGCCATTTCCTTCCATGTGTTCTTCCATGTGTTCTTCTAATCCTTGGTCAAGCAGGGAAAGCCCAAGGACTATAAAAAGAATGTTGATGTGGACAAATGTCCATGCTCAGATGTAACATATATCTCAATAGCAATTGCTCAGGGAAAGCAAATAGACATAGTTGGTGCAGTAAGACACTTGAATAAGGGAGCACTCCTTCCCGCATGTGCCTACCCATCCCCTCGGATCATCATCAGAGGCCCTTCCAACGGAGCCCCTCCTGAGGAAAAAAGGAGGGTGGCTACAAGGAGAAGGGCCTTTTCAGCAGTGGCACCCCTACTTTGGAACCAGCTCCTCAAAGATGTTTGCCTGGTGATCTCCATGTATCCTTTTCAGTGCCAGGTGAAGGCCTTACTAATTTTCCAATGTTTTAACTGTTAGAATTAATCGGCTTTGATATTTTTTATTTGGTTATAAATTGTCACTGTGCCTTTTATGCTGCTCTATGGTTCTATGAAATTTACAATGCCATGGTTGTATGGATAGATTGTTAGATCTTACTGTCATATTTGTGGTCATTTTAATTGCATTTTATTGTATATTTCTTAATTTGTAACACACCTAGGAATCCTCTTGGCTAATGGGGTGGGATAAGAGTCCCATACATACCTACGTACAGCAATAAAGCTTGCTTGCTTGCTTATTTCAAGTGTTTATGTTAACGTTCTACCTGTGAGCAGGTAGGTAGCATATATCATTGGCATATATCATTGTTCATAGACTACCAGGATGGGTGAGGGAGCAAAAACTGGTGTCCCTGTGCACTGGTGCCTGGTCCCTGAAAAGGGGTGGGGAAACTGGTGAGCAATTTACACAAGAAAAACCAGGACTTATGAGGAAGAAAGTGAAACAAATATTCAAATGCATAATTTATTTAAAGTAAGCCTCTTAGCATAAAATGGAGGGAAGGGGCTCCAATAGTTATAGATTCTGCAAAGTAGGTTATTTTGAAAACCTGACTCTAGCTGTGCAGTGCAAGACACAGAAGTAACTGAATGTTTCTATTAACTGCCAGGTGGTTGCCGAGCCTTTAACTAACTGCTAATGGGGGCCAGGCAGAATGATGCTGTTGCTACTGCTTCTGTTCTTTCCTGGTCTTTTCTCAGCCTCCTTGGGATTTCTCATTTCCACCCCTCTGTCTATCTCTCTCTTTTCCCAGGTTCCTCAGATCCTTTGTTCACAATTTCTGCCTCCTGCTTTCCCCTCACAGTCTCCTCAGAAAATCCCCATTCCCTCAGAAGCACTTCTTCTACTCAAGCTCTTCAAGGCTGCGCTTCACCAAGGGTTGCATTTCTATTCCAGCTTGCCTTAAGAAGTCCACTGTGCATGCCTAACAATTCAAAAACAAACACAGAGCTTTCAGAAACTGTTTGGTTTCTCACTGTTGGAAACAGGATGCTGAGGTAGATGAAGCACTGATCTGATCCAGCAAGGTGGTTCTTAAATTCCTATGTTTGCAGGCCTGGGTTTTATTTCATGTTAGCTCGATAAATGCGAAGTCTGCACAGCTGTGTCCATGTTCCTCTGCAGTTATAACCATAGCAGCAAATGGAGTGTAGAGTGGTGAGGGTAGGAGGTAGATTCAGAGTAGATTCTGAAGTACCTTTGCTCAGAGGAAGTGATTTTTAAGTTCTGCTAGCAGACAAAGTAAGCAAAGGAGCAACAATGGAAATCCTCTCCACAAATGGAAAATAATCTAATATTCTACAGACATGGTACTACTGGCAGAAAAAATGTTGCTATGACTGACGCAAGACTTAGCATAGTTTGGTCATCAGATCAATGTTGAATGAATGAGATATTTCCTTACTTCTCTAATGCACTCCTGGATACTCTTTCCTTCTCCTTTTTTTGCCGTTCTTTGTGCTTCTTAACCCGAATTTCCCACAGTCCTCTTACAGCTGAAAAGTCAAATACAATCACCTGATGCCCCATGTTGCTGACATCAGGATTCTCCTGCAAGAAGAATTTTATTAAGATAGTGTCATGAAAATGAAAATAAATACCTCATGTAGCAACAAGCATATTAAAATAAAAAGATAAAATGATTTGTGCTGTGTTATTAGGTGTAGTTATGGAATTCTTTCCATTTCCATGGCCTATGAATTAGATTAGGCTCACAAATGCATGTATGCAATTTCTGTGCAATAGGACAGGAAGGTGAATTTATGAACCAACTGTATTTAGAGCGAGGTCTTCCATTAAGTAGAGTAAGGCTGGGTTCACACATGACAACAAGCAACCCTGCATGGTTTCTGTGGAGTATAGTTTTTTGCCTAGAGGTGCTTACCAGAGGATTAAGTGGTTTCCACATTAATGTGGTTTATACACTCTTTGTTCAGTCCTCCCACTGTTGGCACACTTCCCATCAGCCACCATGCCTGAAAGTCAATCCCATGTTGGATGGCTAGAGCAGTTCATGCATCTGCTGCCACTCTTTCCAGAGGACTCTTCAGTAGGACTATGGAAACCTCAATGCTGGGGTCTGATGATCAGGGAAACTATGGTGGAAACCATACAACAGACTGTGGAAACCATACAACAGATTGCTGTTTCTTATCATAGTTTATCATGGTTTCTAAAAAACAAGCATACCGTGCTGAAATGCCACAAAAAGGCTCAGATTATACAACAAAACATCTTATGGTATCAATCAATGTAATGTTTCCTCCAGTTTGTGGGAAATACATAGCTCTTCCCCAAGTGAAGCAATGATTTGATTTCAAACTGAAGACCACTTCCTACCTTCCTCTCCCAAAAGGCTTGGCTCTACCCTCAAGGAAGTCCATGCTTCTTGTGGACCAGAAGGCAGGAACGCCTGACATCAGTCAACTCATTTAGTTTGACATCAGCTTTCTGGGTTAATTAATTCCCATTTCTGCTCCTCCGTCCCTCCTTGTTGTATAGTATCTCCCTTGAACCAAAGACCATTTGTTCTCAGCAGCTGTCTGACAAATCTCACTCATTAACCCTGACATTTCTGTGCCACATTCCATCCCCTCTCCTTCTCTGTCCAGTTCACATCCTGAACTTTCTAGCTGGGAATGTCCTGTTTTGAAAGAAATGGCCTTCATCTGTACCCACACAGCCCATGCATCCCTTTGGAGGCACTCCCATTCCATCAATGAATTAAACTACTGCTGAATTAAACTACTTAGATCAGTAAGCACTTCTCACTTGACCCTTCTGTTCATGGGAAATAGTACTCAGAATGCTCTGTTTCTGAGGTCAAGTTTGCCAGCTACTGGCCTATTGCTGTTTGCCCTGAGCCTATAAAAGCAAATGGATGGACAGTCTTGTCTGCATAATAAGGAGGTCCACCTGTCCTTCCCACCCCACTCATTTGCCATCTGCTCATCTTCCAGCTAGAGCTGACTAGAGCAGTAGTGTTGGGAGTCTCCTCCAAATTCCAATCTGCATCCAAGAACTCACACCTCAAAATTTTATATAGCACAACTTCCGAACTCACTGATTACTGAATTCACACAAGACTTCAGTGTAGCCCTAATTCTTACCAGAGGTTGCCCTTCATTCTGTTGAGAATAATGGCAGCTATTGAGATCTGTATCAGATCTGTATCTGATGTTAAAGCAGATCTTGGCTTTATATCTCCTTAAAAAGCAGCATCTCCATGTGCCTCATCCCCATGTGCTGGGATACCACTTCAGTCATGACAAGCCAGCCAACCACTAAGTCTGGTGCAAATTTAGCTAGGAAACTAGTAAAAGTGCACTTCTTGCCTCGAGTCATTGCTGAAAATGCAATGGTTTCAGCTTGATATTTTTATCATGAAAAGCAGCTAATCCATCTATGCAGGGCTTTTGCTATGCTTCCTTGTTCATAAAGTCACTCACAGAGCCAGTCTGAGAGAATTCTATGTAAAAGAAGTCAGAAAGTCTTTTAAAAATAATTGCTTCAATCCAGATAAAAATGGCTGTTTTCTCTCCCCTCTTTCTTCTTCTCTTTTTAATTTCACTTGAGATTTCATTAGATGCCATTTTTATTGCACTTAATAAAAGAGAGCTGGAGGCTGTCAATCCACTACTAGAGAAATCATTTTCTCTCCCCCCTTTTAAGGCTAGACAAAGTCATGGATGAAGGCTATGAGTCATGCTGGCTAAATGGAACATTCATGTTTGAGGCACGGCTCTGTGAATTCCAGTCACGGGGGATAAATTTGCTTTCACTCCATGATTGCAGGAACCATTCTTTGCAAGCATCTGGCTAGCTGCTTTGGAAACAGAATATGGGGTTAGGATGTGGAATTAGATCTGGGCTGAGCAACCTGTAGTCCTAGGGCCACATCCAGCCTTTGGCTTTAAGTCTTCAAGCCAAGTCATAGAATCATATGATAGTAGAGTTGGAAAGGGCCATGAGGGCCATCGAGTCCAACCCCCTGCTGCTGCAGGACACCACGCTACCCATCCCACTCAGATGGCTGTCCAGTTTCTTTTTGAATATCTCTAGTGTGGGAGAGCCCACCACCTTTCCAGTCAGCTCAGAATTCTGGAAAGAGCAGCCTCTCCCTTCCAGAGCAGCCTGGCATATGGGACAGAGGAGGAACACAGAGAAAGGGAATTGTCAGAAAGGGTTTCCCCCATACTTCTGGCTTCAGTACCACCCACCATCACATATAGCCATTCACAGAGTACCCATGAGGGAGTGAGCCCCTCAACAGAAAATAAAAGGTTGCCCTTCCTGAATTAGATAAAGTTTTGCTCAAATCAAACCGAACTCCTGAGTTCTTAATTTCTCTTTCAGCATGGTTACCTTCTCGATGCTCATTCTCACTGATCTCTCTCTCTCTCTCTCTCTCTCTCTCTCTCTCTCTCTCTCTCTCTCTCTCTCTCTCTCTCTCTCTCATGCACACACAGTCCAGACACTCCATTGTCCTACTGAACATTTCCATGCTTGTGCTTTTTGTCCTGGTCATAATCTAAAAAGATTTGACCATTCTAGAAGAGCAAGTTACAACCTTGCCCAGCCCTTTTCCTTCGATGTTGTGCTGTTGGTTTCCTTTGTTGGGAGTGGTGGAGGAATGGAAACCACATCAGGTTATCGTGACATGTGAGCCCAGCCAGTGACTGGCACGAGGTCACTCGGTGAGTTGACTGACTGAGTGGAGATTTCCTGGCTCCCCAGTCCAACAGTCCAAGCACCACACCACACTGGAAGCTCACCATATTTTTCATCTGTCAATGCATAGGTGGGTCTGTCAACTCAACCATTTAGCCCAGGAAAGCAGCCCCTGTGGGACCAAAACTGGCATCCTAAAAGCCACTCTGGAGAAATATAAAAAAAGGGGAGGGAAAGCTCATTGGTCTTCATAATGAAGGCTAATGAGCATGCTATCCATACATTATATGCTTGCAGGGGGGGGGGGGATTGATATCAGTCAACTTATAGATGCGTTGACCTGCTCTCATCAGCCTTCTGTTATGGATTCAGCTCTCTTTGTTTGCATCCCCCGCCTCATCTACAAGTTACCATGTGTATAATATCCCATAAATACCCAGTTCTGAGCCAGCGAAGGAGGCACATGTGTTATTTCCATCTGGATAAAGCACGTTTGGATAAATCCTCTTTGCCTAGCTTCTTGCATTAGGAAAGGAACTGTCAATAACCTTTTCCTAATTTAGGGTGCCTGCTCTCATCAATGAGCTTTTGTCGCATGCAGCCCATATAGAAAAGTTGTGGTTTGCAAATAGCGTTGCCCTCCAGGTCCTCAGAGCTTGCTGCTCAATACCATCATTCCTAGAGGACAACTGCTTGTGAATTATTCTTTTGGTCATGGCACACCTTACTTTGATAATGCATTGTTGCCGTATTGCTCAGTTTTATGATCTATTAGTTGGACAGCTCATGAACACCAGGCTCTTCAACAGTGTACTATAAAGAGAGCAGGATCCTAGATTGAGAAGAAAAGATCCAAGGCCATAACAAAGGGAGATTATAAGTAATTTATAATGGTGCCACCTGTGACAAAGAAGCTCTGTTTGTTGGACTCTATAGTAGCAGGCAATCTTAGCTTTAGCGATTCCTATTTACACATGGCGAATTTACTGGGCTTCAATCAATATGCTCATGTTTAACACATCAAACTAGATTCATCCCCAGTGCCTCTCCTACAGCTTCATCATTACAAAAGGAATGAGTCAATGCACCACCGTGTGATTCATGGTTACTGCTAAACTCTTTTCTACTTTTCAGGGCATTTAGAAGCCAGTTTATATACAGGAGAGGTGCTACCATTTTCTCAATAGCTAGATTTGAAAGTGAATTTTATTCAACAGTCAGTTGCTGAGTGTCACAGTAGAAATATATTTGCAGTATTATGCACAGTTAAAGGTTTCCAAAAGTGAATACTTATTGTTCTCATTTCTTATCAGTCCTGGTTTTATCACTTTCTTGTTTGTTTTGCAAAAACAAGTGCTTTGTATGTGTTTTCTTCAGTTTGATTTTTAACAATAAAGCCCACAGAGCTAATTCTGCAACCTTCAATTCATGATCAAGACAAGTGTGCTTACATTCTCTTGAAACCAGTGGTACTTGTGCGCACAGTTCCTTTCCTCAAGATGCTGTTCTTGGGTGGAAATTGCTTTAAATGTAGTTCCAACAAAATGTAGGCCATTCACTAGCTCTGCGCATAGGTCAAAGTGCTACCCTTATCTTTCCCTTTCACAAGGCATCCTGACAAAGATTGGGCCTCTGTGTAATTGCCCTCATGCAATATTTCTTTGAAGAAAGCCCTTCCTATAACAACACAGAACCCCCAAAACATGGAAATGGGCTTTCAGTGGAAAAGGTGTCCATTTGTTCAAACGGTAATTTGAAAAAGATTCATGTAAAGAAGGTTCTGATTTGGGGCACTCACTTTAAGTTGAATACCAGTAATAATCAAACCAAAGGTTCTAAGTCAGGGGTGCAGAACTCAGTCAGAGGCCAAGTCCTAACTGGGGTCTTCATCTGGTCCTCTGGAGTCCCATAAATGGCACCCACCCTGCCCACCCCATTCCCTGCAACCACAAATCCTTGTGACTTTTGTGATGGTTTTCCCATTTTAAATTGTTGATACACCTTTCCTGCGGCTACTCGGCTACCCAGCTACTAGCCACAAGAGCTTTGCATTGAAATATGCTGGGGTGGAGTCCTTTTTATGTTATCTCACCCACCCCTTCTGCCTTTGGCCCTGCTCATCCCTGGAATGCAGCTCCAAGAGTTCCTTTGAAATGCAGTTGAACCCTTGGTTTGAATGAAGTTCTATATCTCTGTTACAGGGATAGAGAGAGGCTGAGTAAAAGTTTCTCATGAAAATAACCAGCTTGATGATTTATTAGATTAATTGCAGAAATTAATTTCTGTAACAGTACACCATATCTACACCCCAAGCTCATGAACATAAAATTTGAAGTAAAGAGAAGCAAGAAGGTCAGCAGGTCCAGTTTCCTATTGTAAAGCAGGACTGAGCTATGTACCTTCGAAGTTTCCTCATACCTATAACAGAAGGTAATTACTTGATCTAAAGTTCATCTGCTAGGATTCATCAAAGGAAATGCTCCATCAACAAGATTCTCTTTTATTGCTGTATTCTTTACACCACCAAGACTAAGCCCCTCACAGGGATGTTCATTAATTAGATCTTTAATTATGGATTAATTAGTGGTTGATTTGAGCGTGTTCCTTGTACTGCCCCTGCTCTCACAGCACTAATGCATTTGCCATCTAGCTTGATGGATGCTACACATGTAGAGAGATTTCTTGCAGATGTATTCCCTCTGTCATCAATCAGCAGGAAAGCCCATTCTGCAAACAGATTCCTCCTTCTGTCATATGGCCAAAGAAGCTACTTAACTTCCTCACTGGTCTCACTCATGCTTTTCATCTTTATTTTATTGATGAAATTTTGATGTCCGGTGTTTCATGGACATATTGAACAGCCAGAGACCAGCCTGGCCTTCACTCAAGGCACAAGTCGCTTCACGTGAGAAGCCAGACCAGAGCTGGAAGCTTGATCAGGCCAGCTGGTCCCTGCAAACGTCGCCAGATGTATCGCCTGGCAAGTGCTGGATTGGACGTCACAAGCACCCTCTGGCAAGTGGTCCCGGTGCCTCAGCAGACCAGAGACTGTAGACTGCAGCTCGCTCTTCTGGCAAGTGGTTGGTGCAGAAAATGAGGCACCGGAGTCTAGCTGCAAAAGACCCCAGCACGAAACCCCTGGCGCTGGACGTTATTCGGAGATTCTCTGCTACTTTGGCAAAATATGCTTTATCAGAAACTAGACTGGTGACTGTTTTACTATGTTATAGCAGGATGGAACCCTTGTGTGGAACACTCATTTTCGTTCAGGGCACATCTGTTAGTTCATTTCCCTGCCCCTGGATAGCAATCTCTTCAGGCATTTACTCTGCATTGCTCATACCCAGTCACTGGCAAGATGCAACTGGAGACCTATGTACAATGGTGTTTCAGCACACTAATTGTTTGGACATTGCTGCATTTGAGAAGAGTGGGCCCCACGGCAGAGAAATTCAGGAAGGATCTAGAGCACAGCACAAACAAAACTAGTGCATCCATTGAGGACTTCTGAGCATCAGCCCTGAGTAACAAATTGGCCAGCCAACTCCCTCTTGCAGGCCAAATGGGAACACCAACGTATCAACTGCTCTATGGATCTTTCATTCATCCCAGAAGGTCACTGGGCTTCAGGGATGCAGAAGAGTATTAACAACAGTGGGAAGAGGGAGGTGAAATAAAATTGGTGTATTTCAACAAAGAGAAAGAGATGAAAGCACAATAGGTTGTATGTCAGAAAACAAGGAAGAAGGACACTTTTCAGGAAGGACACTTTGCAAGAAGGGACCCGTTGGATAAGGTCAAAGAGTCATCAAATCCATCACAGTGGGCTTCAAAAAGCTCTCAAGCAGAGCTTGGAGGCAATAACCCTCTCTTGCTATTGCTCCAGTGCAAAGGCATGGAGGTAGGGTCAAACCAAGAAGATCTACAATCTCTTGCTTGCATGAAATGAAGAACCAGCCCTTCAGAATGTTCCAAAACTGACCTTGCCCAACCTGGTATTCTCCAAATATTTCGGACTACACCTCCTATCATTCCTGACCATTGGCTATCCTAGCCAGGGCTGAGGGCTGTCAGGGTCCAAAACCAGATTGAGAAAATCTGTCGTACAACTTCAACTGGCCCAATTAAAATTTTCTCTTTGTCCCTTATCAAAGCCAATGCTTCCAGTCTATCACTGCACTATAAAAACAGTCATTAAATCCCATAAACCCCATATATTACACCCTCAGCAATGCAGTGGGAGCTCTAGCTATACTTTCCCATCATAGGCCGGATCTAGAACACTAACTGCTAGTGCCTTCACAAATGTGATATGTCTTGTCAATGTGAATGAATACTGAACATCAGTAAGCAACATGGATTTCTTTTTTAAAAAAGCCAAAATTGAGGGAGCCTCCAAAGCAGATATCCTTGCACCATCCTCAAAACGTCTTTATCAGTTTTCATAATTTCTCACACCCAATAGCTAAGCAAACTAGTTCATTCTCTTAACCAAGATATGAAAGAATTGCCCATATAAAAGATAATGCAGACTTTTTCCCTTTTCATGGTTCCATTAGGTATTGCATTGATATATTTTTAAATAGAAGAGGAACATTGAGGAAAAGAAATACTTTTGTCCCAAAAAATCAAACAAATATTTACAGGATCTAATATATGATTAATAAGAATGTACGTAGCATGCATGGAGTTGGTGAGAAGCTTGGTAACAAGAACACACACACACTTCAAAAACTCCCTGGGATCCTCTAGAATTTTAAGCACCCTGACTTTAGATCAAAAAGATTGCCCAGCATTTCTTGCTGATTGTTTGAAAGGGGAAGAAAAGCCAAGACACAAGAGCTGAGGCTAAGCTTCCTAAAATCACTGGGCATTAATTCTCATGTTTATACCCTAAAACCTCATGAACTTTGAAGGCACCACTAATCTGAAAAGAGTTTCTGAACATCACCTCTTAACAACAGGCTGTTTAAACTCTAGGTTCTGACACAAAAATAGGTTTTACTTTATTTCCATTTCAACGTTTCCATACACTAAGTATCCACAAACAAAATTCTTGTCTCCACACATGCCCCCCCCTTTTTTTTTTTTTTTTTTTGCTTTTTGATGATGTGTAACCAGATGCTGTAGTATCACCTCTGGTTGAACAAACTTTGCAACATTTTGAATCAAAATAAAAATCAACATATCCCTTTTATCAGAGATGGTGCTAACATGAGCAAGGTGTGCACTGACACATGGCTCCAAAAGTGGAAATGCATCATTCCATAAAAAGACAAACTTAGAGAGCCAGTGTGGTAGTGAGTGTGTCTGACTTGGGACCTGGGAAATCCACTGGGCCACTCGCAGATTCTCAGGCACCCGACCTCACAGGGTTGTTGCTGTGGGAACAAAATGGACGGGAAAACTCAGGAAGCCCCTTTGGGTTCCTTGCCAGTGGAAGAAAGCCAGGATATCAATGCCATGTAATAATGTACTCTAATGTTATGCTTAGATGGGAAATGAATGCTATAATGTAACAGACATGCAATGCATTTCACTATAACAGCAAAGACTTTAGCTGCTACTCAGTCTGCTTCCCTGGTGCTGCCCTGGAAGATGCAACATTCCTACGCTCCCTTCTTATGGCTCTTTACATTTAAATAGGACTTTAAGTTGTTTTGCCACCCAGTGGACCCAGGAACCTCCCCACTGCACACAAGATACCCACAACAGCAGCACCCTCCCTCTCAAGCGCTGCAGAAACTGGCGCGCACAGGCCAAATGTCTCTGGTACCAAAGGAGGAGTAGAGTCATCAGGACTAGTCAACATTGATATCCTTCTCCTCCATTAAACTGAATTGGGGAGCTGTTGAAATAGGGGGCATCGCCTCTTTCATACCATCCCTCTCTCTAGAAAGGAAACAGCAGTGTCAAAATATAGGAAGAGCCTGGCTGGATGAGACCGAAGGCCCTTCTGGGCCAGCATCCTCCTCCTCAGCTCTCCAGCCAGATGTGCCTGGCGAGTCCCACAAGGCGAGGGAGCAGGAGGTCCCGTCTTGCTGTGGCTGCACAGCAGCTCGACTGTGGAGGCACTGCTTGTCGCCCCATGGCATTAGCCCCCACAGCCTGATCCTCCTTGTCCACGGCCAGCCCTAACCTTCACTCCCTGCCGATTAAGGATAAGTCCCCCACCTTGCAACTAGAGTGCATCCTCTTCTTACACTGACGGGCACCCATGATAACTTGTTAATCTGCAGTGTAAGTTTTTGAGCTAGAATATTTTTTTTCCTCACACGCACACAAATGTCTCTCCGCTTACTTGATGGGCTTTATCTGTGTTAGATATTTGGCATAAGTGGCCTTCGGCAGCAGGCATTCTATAACTCTTTTAAACTTCAGTCAAGCTACTGACACTCAAAGATAAATAGCCAATCTCTCAAAGTTTTTTTCTCTTTATAGTAAATCATTTTCACTCCAACCTATGCCCTTGAGAAAGTACCCGGGGGGAGGGGGTCCTTTGTTTGTTTGTTTGTTCTCTTTCTCTTTTTGGTTGTGGAGATAGGGAGAGCACAAGCAATGGGAATTAGATATGCTTGCAATAAATAAATTAAAAGAAAGAATTCCATGATATACAGTTTGTTGATTTATCCTTCAGCTTAAGCACTTCAGGTCAGTGGAATTAGTTTATTTAGATAATCTATCTTTGCATTATATGCAAAACACCAGGTGTTTCAAAACAGTACGATGCTCTGGATTAAAGCTATTTATGTCTGCTACTTTAGAGACAAAATTTTGGCAAGCACTAAAAGAAGTTAGCAATTATAACTTTGCATGTTTGATTGCCACAGATCCAAAGAACTCAACTGTCAGCAAAAGCATCAGCAAAATGGCCACTTACCTATGCTTGTCTAAAGAGTGTGTTTTTTCTGAGCTCCCTTGTACCTGCACAGTAAGAAACTGGGAGCTCTGAGGTTGTTTACAGCTGTTGGTCAGCCCCAATACCTCTATTTGTTTAAATCTGCCAGTGTGACCAGCCTTCCAGATTTGCTAACGTTCTATATTTGTACACTGCTAACATGATCTGTAGTTTGAACGCAGCCACGGGGATGATAGAATATCAACACAGCTAGGGTGTACTTGAAGAAAAGAATGGCCCTTTTAATAGGACAGACATCTTACTGGCACTATAGCAAGGCTGATAACAACAACATTACTGTGACCTATAACCCAAACATTAATTAAAATCACAAAGAGGCGCCAAAGATTTTCTGCCACAAGGAAAGGGAAGATGGGGTTTTCATGTGAGAACTAGTATAATATGCTTGCAGTTTAGAGCCACATTCATAAACTAAGGGAAGCTGCGGCTTCCCAGATGCAGAATGAGTGGGGTGGCATTCCAGCCACAAACTACTCCAGCAGGGCAAGCACTTGTTTCGAGGGGAAGGTGTCACTGCTCTTCTGACCTTGGCAAATCCAGCTCTTCCTGATATAGTTTCAGAGATGGCTCTGAGGAACAGATCCAGCTTCTCCTTCTGGCAGGACTTCATCACAGAGGCAGCTGCTTGACACGTATAAGGAGTACTGTGCCAGGAATCCACAGAGCTCAAAGGCCTTGCACATAAACAGTTTGCTGAGGCCGCCACAGCAAGTAGTTGTAGTGGGATTCTGGTTTTGACAACTGCAGAATAATCAAAATAAAGATATTGTGCTTTCTCCATCACAGCTCCTCTATGTAGAGAAAAAAATTACCTGTTGGTTTGTTTCTTACTCAATTGATTAAAAAACTGGTTCCTTATCTCAGTTTAGACAAGACACTGCTGATACTAATAGCAGTCATTGCATGAATAGCAAAGGCATGATTTCTTTTTTTAAGTAAACAGTATTTCTCTGGACTGGGGCCTAGAGCCATGGTGCTTGGGGTTTATTTAACCCTTTGCTCTTGCTGCAGTTCTGCATGTCCCATGTGACTCCTGCTTGCACTGGCTAAAATGTTCCCATTCATACCAACAGATTTTTTCCTGTGTAAAAAAAGTGCCTGTGAGCAAAGCATACCCAGAATGGAATGTGCACTGTGGAGGGAGCAAACCCACCCCTGAAGATATGCATAGGAATCAAACCTAGCTCAATGGTCCACCTAAGTAAAGATAAAACAGAGCAGTCTTATACCAGAACATTGGCCTGATTGAGAAGTCTACCTTAGCAATGGACTTACATCAGAGTCCTGTCCTCACAGAATTCCCCAAGGAAAAACATAGATTCTTCACAGAGATTTGGAGAAATAATAGAGACTATGAATCTCCCTGGCAGGAAAACATGGCATCTGTACAGATCTCATGAAAAAAGTAGACCAAACCATTGGTCCACAATAACATCTATTCCAGGTGTGAGCAGGCTCAAGGAATCTACTTTGTTAACATTGCTGTTGTTTACTAAGCCCCAGTGTCCACCAATCAGAGCCAGGTCCGAAATTTAAATTAAAGAAATGAGCACCCTGAGTACATTCTGTGCCTAGCAATGAGTTTTTATACTAGAGCAGAACAGAGCTTGCAGTCCTTGCCACATGGTTACAGCAGATTTTCTGCCTTTCAGCAGCTTCATTTAGACGGGAGGGGATGTCATTCTGCTGTTGTAATTGTTAAACAGGTGGGAACTAGAAACCCTTGGCGATCTCTCACAAGTCACCCAGAGATGGGCCAGTAAATGCTGATCTACCTTTCGTCTGCTCTGACTGACAGCAGCAGCTCTCCGGGGGCTCAGCCAGAGGAAGCCTTTCAAGCACTCTGCTACCTGAGTTCTGGCGCTGGAGTGCTGGGACAGGCACATGGGCAAGCAGGAACGAATCTGGATGGTGGCTGAACAATGCATACCAGTTGCATGGGAGAAAACAACAGGGCAGCTGCCTGCATGCGCTTCCTGAAAACGTGTTAGCTTCCGAAAAGCGTTTGGCCATCCACTGTTGGTAGGTGCATACTGGACTAAACAGGTCTTTGTTCAATCTACCAGGACTCATGGTAGCTTATGCATTTTGGGATACAGAAATAGGACATGACACATGATATAATACAGCAATACAGAAATTCCACAAGTGGAAGCTACAAGAAACTGCTGCAGCATGGAGTGTTGCTGTTTACCATCCCAGTCCATGTCACCGTCTGCCATTCTGCATTACTTTGCCCTTCTACTCCCTTTTCTGTACCAACCCCAAAACTAACCTCCTCAGTCCATCAGAATTCAATGGCCATTGAGTATGCTCGATCCTAATTAGAGTGAGCTGGCTTTTTCCCCTTCCTTTTGGGAAAGGGTTTTTGCTTGCTTGCTCGCTAGCTTGCTCGCTTGCTCGCTTGCTTGCTTTTTGGTTTCTCCAAATCTGCTGACACATCCCATCACCTGCTTAGATGTCACTAAAGGAACAGCATTTGAAAAATATAAACCATTGTTAGCATATATAATGAAGAAACGTATCTTTTATTAGTTCTGTTTCTTTCTAAGGCTGGCAGGGCAGAATCCTATAGTGCACAAACACAGAAAAACATCTTACACTTCCCATGACTGACTGGGGCACACAGCAAGTTGCAGAATTTTTTTCTGTGCAAATATGAATAGGGTTTCACCCTTAATTAAACTTGTGCATATAGTTAATATAATGTTATTATTATAATACAGTTATTAATAGTTTATTTATATTTATCAATAAATAATACTTTGGCGACCTAATGAGAAGGAAGGACTCACTGGAGAAGACCCTGATGCTGGGAATGATTGATGGCAAAAGGAGAAGGGGATGGCAGAGGATGAGGTGGCTGGATGGGGTCACTGGGGCAGTGGGTGTGGGCTTGGGTGGACTCTGAGGGATGGTGGAGGACAGGGGAGCCTGGAGGAATATAGCCCATGGAGTTGTGAAAGGTTGGGCACAACTTTGTGACTAAACAACTAAAATCAATAAAGAATTATTTTATGCTGTAAGCCAGCTTGGGAAGATGATGGTGTTGAAAGTCGGTTAAGAAATGGATTGCATAAATACATAATTCAGCACTGGTGTATCATTTTGGACATCTTACCCCCCCAAGAGGTTGTGACTGCAGTTTGGGCCAATGCTGACTTTCAACTTCCCTGAAATGTATAAAATTCTAACTAGCTTCTCTTGTGAGAATGCCTTATATTTGAAAGTAAGCACTGCACCAAGTCTAATCAGAGAATGCCCTAAAAGCTATCACTTCCGTTCTAACAGAAATTTCTCAAACAGTATCACACTGCCAGCTATTCCTGCCAGCCATGAAATTCCAGCATTTTATTTCTTGTTGGCAACACTGATGCTCTTATGTAAATTTAGACGCCAAGCTAACTGGCCTTTCACACACTGCCTGTTTTAGGTGGTAACATGTATTACTTAGCTCAGAATGAACAAAGTCAGCCCTGCTGATGCCCTTTGGCAAGGCGGGGCTCTGGCTGTCGGTTTCCAGGTCCTTCCCTGAGTGCTCCCAGAATTTTATTACACCCTTGAGTTTGTCATTACCCTGACTCATTCGGAGAATTTTACAAGGGACTAGCAGCATCCTCCACTTTTCTCATCATGTCTTCCACCTGTTTTCTTATCAGTGGTAGCATGAGAAGCCCTCTGTCTGTAGGCAGCCCTTGGCACAGCACCATGCGCTTCCTTACAGCATCACCGCACTTAACTGTGATTAAATGTGATTAACTGTGATTAAGTGTGATGCAGCCTTTAGACAGGACCGTGATCTTCCCGTTTTGCCTTTTTTTCTCAAAGCACTTTCTTGCTGCTGTTTTTAGAACAAAGGGTTTTCAATCAGGATATTTATTGTGCCATTAATCAGTCTATCTGCTTTCTGTTTCATTGCAGCACCGTGATCCAAACTCTACACAGAAAGAGTTCTTCCTTTCTACTTTTCTGACACACAAGCTCTAGATGGAGTTGTGTATCAGTGGAATAACAAAAATGCACCAGAAGATACAGCACCATTTCCCTGTAGGGATGTAATAGGTTATTTTCCCCGTTCTAAAAAAAAGGCATAAAAGTGCTCTTAAGAAACAAAAGTAAAACTGGAGGATCACAACTTTGTATAAAGAGCTGGTAAACAACCATGAGGAAGGAATCACCAGTGCGCAATAAATGCCTCTGGTAAAAACTGCTGCTGTTTCTCATTATTAATTTGAGCTTTTTGGCTATAAATCACACCTCCTAGAGGTTAAGCAGGAGAAAAGTAGGGAAGGACAAGTTCTTTGCACAGAGCTAGGATCCCAGTGATGCAACCAAACCAAAAGTGGATGCAGCACTTAAGCGTGTGCAGAAAACCCTGCAGTCTCTTTGATGTGATTTTCAAGTTTCAGCGTGATTTTTCGTGATGATTCACCACTGAATGAAGCCCGTCATTTTAATCTGTGCTAAGGGTTTGGGTCAAATGGAAAGGGAACAGCATTGCCAACATTTTAGCCAACTTTGCTGCTGGACTTTTCAATGGTGCAAGGGATGGATCTTGGAGCCAAGCGCGAGGTCCCGCAGCCTGCAGGTCATCTGAATAAACACCCAGAGAGCAGCAAGTGCTGACGGCACCAGGGGAGTGGAAGCCAACCCTCATTTTATTCTGCCAATCGGAGGCTGCTGCAGTTTTAGTGCATTTAAAATGCACGTGCTCAGAGTAATTTTTAAGTCAAAACAAAGGCATTTTATTATTGTTGCTTAGCATATCAAGAATGTAGAAGCAGTTTTCAAGTATAGAGTGGCAGTTGTGGAGTGGGGTGGGGGAGTTAATTGTGTGCTTTGCATCTGAAGTAACATTTATATCATTTCTATTTCTCCTTTTTGTCCTCTTGCCAGGAACCCAAGACCGCTTACATGATCCTCCTCCTCCCCATTTTATCCCCACAACAACAACCCTGTGAGGTAGATTAGGCTGAGAGTCAGTGACTGACCTATAGCCAGCCTGTAAGCTTCATGGCTCCCCCAAGTCCAGGCCCAACCCTCTCACCAGCATCCCAGGCATGGCCATCTAACTGGAAGCTCCAGAGTCCAAAGTTACTTAGC